TGCCTAACACCTTCTCCCGGATTAACAGAATTCCTTACTCGGATTTCTGTGTTCGCAGACCATAAATAGAGTCAATTTTCTCGGTTCGGGATTTTTAAAACCGGTGACTTGGGACACCATAAATTATCCCAAGTGGCGACTCTGATCTTAAAATAAACAAATCTCGTTTCGATTGTCCTTTAATTGGAAAAATTCCCTTATATTTATACCCTTTCACGGAGTGTAGGTAAAAAGGAGGTGTGACAGTATGTCAATGACAGACCTCTCTACCTGCAATTTCAGAGATAATGCCGATGGATTTATCAATAGTTGAAGCTTTTTAATGGTTGTTGGTGGAATTGATTCAGAGAAATATATGATGCTATAATTTTAGAGAGATAATAGTTTGATTAGTATGAAAGAGAGAGATATTGGTGGATTTGTATGAACGAGAGAATGACTTTAAATTTTTTGAAACTAGGAAAAAAATCATGATTTTAGGAGGCTAAAGTTGATAGATGGGGATGAGAGATACGTTACAAATTAATTCATATCCTTCTTTTATTATATTTTGTACTTGTACATAAATAGTAAATATAGATACACAATGTAATTCTTAAGGAACCTAAAGAAAAGTGGTTAATAAGTTTCTAATATAGTATAGTTAGGTAAAAATCCCCTAACCAACAATATCAAAATTTATGCTCGTTGTTTTCTTTTATTATGAACACTTGTGAAGAGTTTATTCCTGAATATTTTAGCTCTTTGAAAGACTTGGTTCTCTTGTTAAATCTTGGTCTGAGCATTTATGAGAATACGCTTTGGAGTAGTTTCCTTGGTGAACTTGCAGAGCAGAAAGGTTCTAATATTCTTGGTGTCACAATTTGCAAATTATTTGCAATAGAAATTCAATTGTTAACAGTTGAAATTGGAAAAAAGATGTTGGGAGTAACAGATTGGACAACTTGAAGCTTTGTATTAGAATATAGTTATAGCGGAATTGGTTAACACTTTCAATGAAGATTATAGCGGAGTAATGATACAATCTGGACATGTCATTATATATAGAGGTTGTGGGGAGTAGTACTTTGTGCTTCCGGTTATGTACATGGGAGTTGAGCTGGTTATTTTCATATCTAGTTTTCAATTTTACACTTAAGCCCAGTAAGTTAGTTAGTTATCTATCTCTAAGTTTTTTTATTCCACTTTTGCTGTAGGTCTTACTTCCCCTTTTATGTAAAAAGTTGTTCATTGTCAGAGGTTATGACTGAAGATTTTGCTCAGCTTTTCTTAGTTTTTTTTCTTCCGTAGCTAAGTTTCTATTTTCGATTCAAAATTGTATTAGAGAAACAATATTTATTTGTAAAAGATGTCCTTACTAACTGTGGCGGAGCCAGATTCACTAAAGAGTGCCGAAATATAAGAAAGTAAACACACGAAAAAATCAAGGAGAGCCAACATAGAGTAATATATACATATAAAATAAAAGTTACCGCTACAATATAACTTTCCGGACGAAGGAGTTGACACCCCTTTGGATAAGGTTTCTCCGCCACTGCTTACTAGTGTGTGAACGCTGACGAAAGCTACTTTAACGGGATGAAGGTTGAAGTAACGCATGCCCAGGGGCAGCTCAACGGATTTTGTGGCCTAAAGCCAAAACAAATTAAAAGGCCCTTAAATTTGTTTGGTAAAATTTATATGATAATGAGATACAAAGCAAACTCTTAGAACTTTGGCCTAGTTGTAAGTGTACAACGTGTGATGTGTGCCACAGTTTGAAACTCTATCGTGAATGAAAATATGACATTAATTAAGTGAAAGAAGGTAGAGAGGGTACGACGATAATCTAATGACTTTCGAACCTTGCGCCCCATTGCATTTGGAGTTTTCTCCTAAGAAGATGAAAAAAATTGCTTTCTAATGGATGGGGCAATAAAATATGGTGAAAGAAATAGTCAATCAGAGAAACTGGGTTAAAATTAGAATGTAAAATCATTACAAATATTAAAAGAAAATATGAGTGTACATAAAGAGAAAAAACTAGATTTGATAATGAAGGTAAATGCATCATTTAATTAAATGAGAGAGAAATTTATCGTTATTTGTTACTTATTTATCACTCAACCGTATAACTTTAATTAAAACTTTTAAAATATTTTATTAATAATACAACAACAACAACAACAACCCAGTATAATTTCACTTAGTGGGGTTTGGGGAGGGTATTGTGTACGCAGACCTTACCCCTACCATGGGGTAGAGAAGCTATTTCCAAATAGACCTCCGGCATCCTTCCCTTCAAGAACTTCGCACCTTGCACCTTGCTCTTAAAGAGACTCGAACTCACAACCTCTTGATTAGAAGTGGAGGTTGCTTACCATCAGAGCAACCTCTCATAGATCTTTGTAGGCCATGCTGACCTGGTTGCCCAATCCGTGCAGGTTCCTGAAGGACTGCTCCAGGCTTTTGAATTTCCTCAATACCTCATCTTGTTCTGGGGCTTTAATCGGCTTTTCAATTTCTGCCGGTGCCATCTTAAAATATATGTGACACATAGTACTTAAAATTGGGGCCTTTAATATTTTTGGGGCCCAAGGCAATGACTTTATTTGTCTTACCCTTGGGCCGTCCCTGGGCATGCCACTACTAAAATTGATAGCGGAGATTCGATTCACACGATATAAAACAACCATAAATATAGCAATTTCTCACCCTAACCAAAATATAGCAATTTTGTACCTCTCCATTCAAACGCTGAAAGGATATATATTTGGAGCCAAAAAAAGAGTACAGAGTAGTGATAAAAAAATACTTTTCAAAACATATTACCTGGGAATGATGGTGTTATTAGTATTAGCGGTAGGGAAACAACGATAAGAACCTTTACACGGATGAGAGATTTGTATATTTCTGAAGTTTTTTCCTAAGTTCTCCCAACATAGACGAAAGGAATTGGATGGAATAGCTTAATTTAGTCTAAATAATTGGAGGGAAAGATAAAACTAATAAATGTTGCTTTTAAATGGCTGTTTATTTTTATTGCCACTAAAAGGTATTTTAATAGTAATTGATGTTCATTTACCGCTAATATTTTCGTTTAATAAAAGATATTTTAATAGCAATTGATGCTTATTTGCCGCTAATATTTTTGTTTAAAAAATTATTGAGTGGCCATTCTTTTATTGTCGCTAATTATTTGCAACTAAAAGTCACTTTTGTAAAATTAAATTTTTTTTACCCACAAACCCCATTAGAAACCAAGAAGAGTAGCGTTGTACCAAAAAAAAAGTCACACTGAAAAATGCTGGATAAAATTACTTGTAAAAAATAGTGTGACGAGTTTGAAGTTATTGTTGGGCGGAGACTACGAAAGTGATGCAATCAGTGAAGATCGCAATGGAATTTCATTAATCTAGGAGCTAATGCTCGAAGAAGATGGCAGATAGATCACAGTAAAACCGAAAAAATAGCTAGAAAGAAATGAGAAGAGAGAAGAATAGAATGATTTTATTTCAAGAATGAATCAATTACAATGTATCAGTGTATTTATATCACCATCTAACAAGCAACTCTACTGATTATAGCTTCTCTACGGTGCTCCTTCTCCCTAACTGTTTTAACTAACTTCTTAACTGTTTTAACTAACTTTCAACTAACTCAGAACCACTGCGACTAACTCTTCTGACAACTGTAACTGACATGATGCTAACTAACGCGATACTAACTGCAATGCTCATTTCTCCAACAATCTTATACTTGCATCAATACCCCTCGCTTAAAGATTATTCTTTTCGTCAAGGATGGAATGCAGGGAAGCGGTGTTGTAATTCTGACATATATTCCCAAGTTGCTTGTAGGGCATCAATACCTGCCCATTTAACTAAAACTTGCCATACAACTTTGTTACCCTTATTAACCATTCGCCTCTCTAAAATATATTCAGGAGTAAGGCAATATGGACTGGAAAGATGGAAAACCGGAGGGTGGTTAATGGTAGTAGGAACCTCAAGACACTTCTTAAGTTGTGAGACATGAAAGGTAGGGTGAATCAGTACATCAGTAGGAAGTAACAGTCTATAGGCAACTGCACCAATCTTCTCAACAATAAGATAGGGCCCAAAATATTTATCTGCCAACTTGTTGGAGGGTCGAGTAGCAACTGATACATGTTTGTAAGGTTGGAGCTTCAGGTAGACCCAATCACCCATACTAAAGGACCTATCGGTCCTTTTTTTATCAGCAGTATCCTTCATTCTCTGTTGAGCTCGTGTGATATGGAATTTTAGCAACTGAATCACTGCCTCTCTGGCTTCGAGGGACATGTCAACCATCTTAGAAACAGCTTCACCAGCCAGGTAAGGAAGGTGAATGGGAGGTTTCTGCCTATATAAAACCTCTTAAGGGGTGCATCTGACGGTAGTGTGATAAGAGGTGTTATACCACCATTTTGCTAAGAACAAGTAGGAAGACCAATCATGGGGCTTATCAGAGCAGAAACACCTTAAGTAAGTCTCCAATGTTCTATTCAAAAACCTCTATTTGACCATCAGTCTAAGGGTGGTAAGTTGTTGATCTCTCCAATTGGACACCTTGGAGTGTGAAAAGTTCATTCCAAAAACTGTTAAAAAACACAGGATCTCTATCGCTTGTTAATGTAACAGGTATGTCATGGAGTTTAAAAATATTGTCTAAGAATCATTGAGCTACAGATTGAGCATTATATGGATGGGACAAAGCCATGGAACGACCATACTTACTCAACATGTCTACCACAACCAAGATCGCCTCATTGCCATTGGACTTAGGTAGACCCTCAATAAAATTCAAGCAAATATAAGTCCAAACTCCTTCGGGAATTGGTAGAGGCTGCAACAATCCATGAGATGCAACAACATCATATTTGTGCCTTTGACATATATCACATTTGCTGATGTATATCCTAGTATCCTGGCTAAGATTCTTCCAAAAGAATAAGGATTGCAATCTCTTAATGGTAGCATCCATACTGGAGTGACCTCCTTGAGGAGTGGCATGCCATTGTTCAATGATAGTTGTTCTTAATTGCATATCATCACCAACCACAAGCCTGCCCTTCCACCTTAGCTGGTTGTTACACCAGGTATATGATTTATAAGGTTGTTGTTGTAGCTTAGTGATTACCAACTGCAGTGTTAGATCAGTGTACCAAGTATTTTGAATCTGAAGGAACAAGGAATCATTTGGAGTTAGCAAAGAGAGAGCTCACAACTCAGGATTTGGTTTCCTTGACATGGCATCTGCAACCTTGTTTTCCACTTCCTTTTTATACTCAATAGAGAAATCAAAAGCCATGAGCTTTGAGATCCCATCAACCTGGAAATCAGTATGAACTTGTTGTTCCAAGAGATGTTTTAGGGCCTTCTGTTCTGTTCTCACAATGAATGGTCTTCCCAACAGATAGTGAGACCATTTGGTAACAGCAAAGATGAGTGCCAACAATTCTCTTTCATAGACTAACATTGCCCGGTGTCTTGGATCTAGACTTACTGATGTAAGCTATATGATGCCCTTGTTGCATTAGAACTGCTCCAATATCCTTACCACTAGCATCAGTTTCCACAATAAAAGATTTGGCATAATATGGCATTGCTAAAATAGTTGCAGAAACTAGTGCTTGTTTTAACTGGTTAAAAGCTGCAGTATATTCTTCAGTCCAAGAGAAACCTTTCTTCTTAAGTTGATCATGTAATGTTCTGTATATAGCAGCAAACCCTTTGATGAACCTCCTGTAGTATCCAGCAAGTCCAATAATTTCCCTCAGTTGTATAATATTGCTAGGAATGGGCCAACTCTGTACATCCAGTATTTTGTTTGGATTAGTTGAAACCCCTTCAACACTGATAAAGTGACCTAAGTGCTCCACCTTCGACACACCAAATGCACACTTAGCCATCTTAGCAAACAACTAATAGTGTTGCATCAATTCAAAGACATCCTTCACATGATCAACATGAGCAGACATAAGGCTTTGGAATGATGAAGAAGCATTAGTTAACCCAAAAGGCATAACTAAGAACTCATAGTGGCCTTCATGAGTCTTGAAAGCTATTTTATGGGTGTCTTCCTTTGCCATTCTCAGTTGGTGGTACCCTGCTCTAAGATCTATCTTAGAAAACACAACTGCACCATCTAATTCATCAAGCAAATCTTCAATAATGGGTATAGGGAATTTATCCTTAACAGTCATATGTTTCAACTCCCTAGAGTCAATACACAACCTCCAACTACCATCATTTTTTCCTACCAATACAACAGGTGATGCATAAGGACTAGTACTGTGTTGAATTACTCCTTGATCCATCATTTCTTGAACTAACTTCTCGATGATATCCTTTTTTATCCCAGGATATCTATAGGGTCTTTTGTTCACAGGACTTGCCGGCTCTATTAAAGGTATTATGTGGTCAAAAGAGCCTATATGAGGAGGTAAGGTTGTAAGTACTTCAAAAATACATGAGTACTGCTTTATAAGAGCATTCAAGGCAGGTGTAAGTGTAGCCTCCTGCGTTGCTTGTATATTGTGGCACTGCATTCCATTTGCACCTCTGTCCATCAATGACATCATGAAGAACTGGGCCTCTGAGTCATTTAATTTGGGTAGCGAAGTAGCTTTACTTGACTTCAATTTTTATTAGCACCCCTCAGCACATGCTTCTTGCCTGGTCCACAAACTCAATAGTCATGTTTCTGAAATCAAATGGGATCCTTCCTAAGGTGCTGAGTCATTGCACTCCCAACACTATATCCATATTTCCTAGTGGAAACAATAGGAAATCTGATGAGAAAGTTGTTCCTTGCAGTAGCCACTGTAGGTTCTTGCATACAACAACAGTCTACACTTTTCTATCATCGCTACATTGATAGAATGCTCCACTATAGAGCTAAATTGGCACCCCCAGTTTCTTGGCAACTTCCTGATCAATAAAGTTGTGTGTACTCCCAGTATCAATCAAAACTTGTAATGGACTTTTTTCATGATAATTCGTGACTCTAATTGTCTGGTAACCAGACACACTAGTAAAATCTTGCAATGATATAGTCATAAATTCATTACCAGGCTCTACAACTTCTTGGATCAATACCTCCTCTTCCACCTCAATTGTTGTGGTCATTTCTTCTTCACACACCTCCACCATAAACAACTGCTTTCTCGACTTGAATTTATGCCCTATCTCATATTTTTTATCACAAAAGAAGCACATACCCTTAGACCTTTTATCATCCATTTCAGCGGCAGTCAGCCTCCTCCCCAGCCTATTTGGTTTGTTGGAGCTAATATCAGTATTTCTTTGGTGAGTAAGGTTTGGTGTAAAGGTTTTCTGGTTTTTTTGTGATCTGTATGCAACTGGAGTGGGTAGAATAGGATTGCAGTTAGAATGAAGGGATCTAGAAATGAGTTCAATCCCCAAGTTTTGGCTTGAGCATCAAAAACTTCCTCTTGTAATCTGACAATCTTCTATGCTTGCATTAAGGTTTGTGGTGCTTTGATTTTGACAGCTTTATTCAACTCTGGTTTTAGTCCCCCCTAAGAAACAACTAATGGCATTCTCAGTAGTCAGATTCACAACAGTTAACAATCTATCAAACTCTTCTTGGTATTCCTTAACCCCAGCAGTTTGGCTTAAATTCTTAAAAACCTCCATAGGATCTTCAAAATTATCCCCAAACCTTTCATTCAAGGCTAGCACATATTCAGTCCACGATAAGTCTAGGGTAGAAGACCTAGACTTCACATAAGATCTATGCCAAGCAATAGCATCCCCATCCATATGAATAGAGGCTACATTCACCCTTTGTTCAAATGGAACTTCATCCATGGAGAAGTATTGATCAACCTTATACAGCCATGTACGCAAATCTACACTAAAGAATCGAGGAAAATCTAGTTTTGAGAATCGAGTAAAGGAATTACCATTTCCTTGATGAGCAGAACCACTGTACGTTTCCTTGTTTCTGACCTCCATTGGATATCCTCCGTTAGTCGAAGACTTAGCCACAATTTGTTCCTTTCCTCTTTGAGTGATGATTACAATGGCTTCCTTAAGGCCTAACAGTTCCTTATCAGCATGTGAATTCCTCTCACTTATGCTTACCATGCCATCCATCACCTTCTGCAACTGCTCTTGAATCTGAGACAGCTTGTCCTCCATTTCCTCAACTAGTTTGTCTTGATTTTTGCTTCGAGTCATGTTGATTAATTCGAGAATCGATCGCTCTGAATTGATACAATCAGTGAAGATCACAATGGAATTTTGTTAATCTAAGAGCTAATGCTCGAAGAAGATGGCAGCTAGATCAGGGTAAAACCGAGAAAAATAGCTAGAGAGAAATGAGAAGAGAGAAGAGTAGAACGATCTTATTTCATGAATTAATTCAATTACAATGTATCAGTGTATTTATATCACCATCTAACAAGCAACTCTACTGATTATAGCTTCTCTACAGTGCTCCTTCTCCCTAATTGTTTTAACTAACTTCTTAACTGTTTTAACTAACTCGGAACCACTCCAACTGACTCTTCTGACAACTGTAATTGACATGATGCTAACTGCAATGCTCATGCTGTCACACCCTTTTTCTACCCCTCAAAATAATAATAATATGTGTATGTGCCAAAGAGTTTTTCCAATTAAAGTGACAAAATTTGAATAGGGATTATTTTATAGTTCAGAGTCGCCACTTAGAATTGATTTTTTCGGTGTTCCAAGTCACCATTTATTTGGATCCCTAGTCAAAGGAAGGTTTGACTCTTATTTTAATCGGTTCGCGAAAATAAAGTTCGGGTAAGGAATTCTGTTGACCGGGGAGAAGGTATAAGGCATTCCCCGAGTCTCGTGGTTCTAGCATGGTCGCTTTATTGACTTAAACTTGGCTTGAATTAATTTTGGACAAACTGTGATTTATATTATTTTCATGTTTTACCTATCCTCTTTTATCTATTGATTATTAGAAAAAATTAAAGAATATTTTTGAATAATAAGATGTCATAACCACACTACGCAAGCGAATGCGTGATCGACGAAATTTATTATTTAGTCATAACGGCGCTACGCAAGCGAATTTGCAGTCATGACAGACGATTGTTAGCACGTTATTTACTTTTGAAAAATTGCTGCAATTGTGTTTGGAGGAAACATTAACCCTCTTTTTTCAGAAAATTTATTAAATGTCACTACCACGCTACGCAAGCGAATCCGTGATTATGACAAAAGATTTATAAATTAATTAAAACTATTGAATATGACATGAAATTGATGAATTAACATATTAAAAGTTAAGCGTCACGCTACACAAGTGAGTCCGTGAAGTTAAAGTGCACCTATTATTTGCCTAACGTTTAAATTAATTAAAGGGAAACTAGTTAATTAAAATAGTAGGAAAATCTGATATTATTATTATTATTATTTCGAGCTTTATAGTTGGGAAAAATTATGCAAATAAATGTTGGACCAACTTTATCTATTTTAAAAGAAATGAGCCAACTTCATGTTAAAAAAAAATGGCCAGCTTGTATGGAGCTTTTGGGCTGCTGGAATTTATTATTAAAATGGGCCAAGAAATGAATTTCAATTGGCCCAATGCTATATAGAAGAAAAGGGGTAATTTTGTTGTTTAAAGGTAAATGAGCCAACTTTTATCTTTGATTCAATAAGGCCCAAAGTTGATACAATCTTAGCTCTTTACTTAGTTTGAGTTCATGACCATTAACTACATAGTCACAATTGTATAAACGCCCACTTTACAAAAATAGCCATTTTTGCAAATCCGGCAAAATGGCCAGATTCACAAAGATATTATCACAGCATTCCTAGAAGCATATGTTGGCAGTGAAATTTCAGCAACTAAAACGAACTCATGCTATGTGTTATACACCTAAAGTCATTCATGGCATACTTAGCATTGTTACTCGGATATAATAGCTTGAAAACATGCTTAAAAAATCCATAAACGACTTACATATCACATTCAAAAACTTACAACTTAATATTCAAGTATTATGAAGGACTATATTCATATTATCACATGTTTGATACATAACAATTACATACAAGCTCTTTTGTTGTCAAATTATTCATCACATCAAAACACATTTAAATGGTGCAGCATGTTCAAGTTGTTCCCATTGCTGAAAATACGTACATTACGAGTCTTAAAGGATTACCTGGTAGCAAAAGAATAAACAGTAGTTCAGCAACTAAAGCAGCATAAAAACAGCAGCAAAACCAGCAACAAATCCGTGTTAAAACAACCCGAAAACTTAGAAAGGGAACCCAGAAACGAACTCTAAAGAGGACTTATACTTTTTTTAAAAGTTTGCACTCTAAGATTCACTCCCAAAGCTCACCATTTCAGCTTACTTTTCATGTGTTCAACTGCTGAATTTTTTTTGTTTTTGTGACAAAGCAATTATAAAAAAAATCCCCTGGAAGTGTGATGGAGTCCCCTCTATATATCAAAACAACCAGCTATTTCAAAAAACTAAAAATCATTCTTTTTGACAGAATTTTCTACAAAATCTGCTCTTAAATTCAAAAAGCAAGACTTTCTAGTTCAAATCTAGTCAAGTATTTCAAACAAAATCTGCTCTCCACTATTCAAAGATAGACTTTATTCAAATAATGTCCAAAGGTCTACATTTTCTTACCAAACAATTTGACTTTTGAGTGTTGTACTCAAAGAGTCTTGAAGCAGTAAACAAACAACCAAACAAGTACCATATACTCTTAAGTATTTTTCATTACCTCACTTTTATCAATACAAAACTATTTTACTACTTCAACAAGTGCAAAAACAGAAAATTTAACATTTCAAACTTCAAAAACTAATGCTAAAATAATTAATAATAGACAAAAATAAA